ATGCGATTTTTAAATGGTGCTTCCCAAATCCCACCAGCCTCCCCTCCCTCATAAAAAATGAACGGTCCCTAATTACGATGATAACAGTCACCATTATGTCTGAGCACATGTACAGCACCACCTAGAGGCAAAGTCACTACTTAATCAGGAGCTCTCATGTTTGCAGGGACGAATGGCAGTTTTATCACCCTACGGCCTGTTAGTTTCATTGTAGTTTCGGAACTAATGATCAAATTAAGTGTCCTAATTTATGGAAAATGTGCAAGGCGGTAGCCAAGCTTTTAACACCAACCATGCACGTCCTGCAAGTTTAACGCGCCGAAGGCTTGAACCTCTGAAAGGCTATGAAGGCATGTTCCTCCATACCCCGCAAAAAACAAGAAACAAAAAACAAAACCAAAATTGGAATATCCCTTGAAGGAAAAGAAATAAACAAATGCGTGAGCAATCAATATTTCATTGTGAGAGCGTAAGATTTCATTCGTTTGCGTTAGGCTTGATTACTCTGAAAACGATATGCTTTATTGCTTACAACAACAACAACAACAACAACAACAACAATAACAACTAGCTTTATTCGCATGACCATAAATACATACAGTGTTACAAAAGCTTTAGTAGACTAAAACTAAAACTTAAACTAAAACGACAATGATTTTCATGAACATATAATAAGTTTATGATAAAGCGATCAAGTTGCATCAGCTTGATTTGAAAGAAGAATATTGCGTAGATCAAAGCAAGATGAAATGAATTTTGCTAATTGAATAATTATATAATGATTTGTAGAAGTCGTGAGTTCGCCGATGTCTAGTAAAGAGGATACAGTGGAATCCTGATTTTTCGAACTTCTAAGGGAAACGAAAATTGCTTCGAAAAATCGGAGAGTTCGAGAACTTTGGAGGTAAAATTATAGTGTTCGACTGAGGAGAGGGAACGACTTTTGGTTCGATTTATCGGGAGGATCGAAAAAATGAGGCTTCGAGAAATCGGGATTTCACTGTAACAGAGTATTTATTGCAATACAGTGGAATTCCGATTTCAATCCTTAGTTTGTGACTGCCTATCATGAATTTCACTAGTTCTTTTCTTTCGCTTAGCCTGCTTATAGACCTAAATAAGAGGAGGGAATTAATCGTTCTTAAAAGTGCAGCATATTTATTCTCGCTACTAGGCCTTGTGATAAGTTGATGGCGCAGCCGTTTTTCGGTCTCTCCTTATACACCTCCTTGTCCTTCATGGCACGAATGCAGCCACTCTAATCTCCTCAAAACCAAATATGATAATGTCTGGGTCTTGTTTACCAAATTAACATTCGTACCCAAAGAGTTTGTGTTTGTTGCGTCAGACACAGGAGGACGGTTCTGGCTTTTAAAAAACACGCCTTTAGAACGTTAAATTCTTTACAGCATGTCTTTCAATAATTCGCTCACTTGACCTTGGTCTATATTTCGTGCCCCAAATGTTCTCCGTAAATTATTTTTCCAACTAGCAGTGCTTTTTTAAAAGATAAAATAAACTAGGATAAAATCTAGACGAGGTACTCTTGCATAAGCCACGGCCCAAATTACTCTAACCTGTCCTAACATCCTAATTATTTAAATTTGCTAGGAAGCATTTCTACTATAAAGATTGAAAGCTTTACATACTAATGATTACCATTTGTTTTATACAGTCTCAGCAGTTGCTTACCCACTGGAAAACATCACTTTTACAGAAGGTGAAAACAGGACTTTAACATGTAATGTTTCTGGGAGTCCAACACTATCTGTAACATGGACAGAGGTCAAAACTGGAATCCGTACAATAGGAATCACACGTGAGCTTACACACATCAACAGGAGTGAATCTGGGGAATACAAGTGTGAAGCAAGCAACTCTTGTGGAAAAGATATCACAAGCACATTTCTCATTGTGCACTGTAAGCGACAGAATTTTTTACCTTGATTCTGACTGTTTCCTTTTAGATTAGACATGTGTTTGTGCTTTTCACAGCTAGGTAAGCTACGACGCCTGTTTGGTTACGGGTATACTATTTACGAACTCACAGCAGATGGCTTGATAGCTCAGTTGGTAGAGCACTGCAGAGGTTATTGGTTCGAATCCTGTTAAGGCCTGAAATTTTTTCAGGTTTTAATTTCACAACTGCTTAGGTTGTGTGTATAACTGCGTTAATCAATCATGTTTTCAAATCTTTCTTTGCAGTTCAAACATATGATCTTTCATATATTCACTTGTAAAATCCACTTTTGCGTCAATTTTTTTCCAGAACCATCACACAAATCACGTGTTACTAGGCAGTGTGCCAATTTGGCTAAAGTTAAACAATTGTTTCAGTTCGAATTGCATAAAATTCTTTTTATCAGGTTGCATTAACCAGATACATAGACTGTGGTTATGCAAGTACCAGCATGCAAAGTAATTTGTTCCCATTACTGGATTAATCTGTCCTTTGATTGCCTCACAGGCAAGTGAGGTTTTCGGGAGAACGTTTGAGGAAATCTAAATCTCAGAAGTTCTGAGAGACGATTTTGTTGTACACATAGGTATATGACCTTGGAATTGGGAAGGGGGTTAAGAGCCAGCTGCAGCCTCCCNCCCCCCCCCTCAACAAAGTTTCACATTGTGTTTTGGAAAAACGCTCATTATTTGGGCCACAGCATTTGGGAGAACACATTCCTAATAGGAGGTTTCTTGTAGGTTACTTTCTCTGAGATTTGCCTCGCCAAAACAGAGTCAAATGATAATTTTTACACTTTGCGCATTTGGCATTGTGTTGCAAGAAGCTCACCCCCAAGTCTGAAGGTGAATGTACGCCTAAGATTGTACAGTATAAGTTAAATTTTGAATTAATTAATCATGCTAGTAAGAATTGCTTTTGGACGAGAACATCGAAGTCAGTGCTTCGTTGTAGTGCAAACCCAAATATTGCTTTTCTTTGTCCTCAGAAGTATAAGTACATGTATCAACCTGGAAACTCCAACTACATATAAAGAAAACACATCAATTTACACCATTATTATGTTATTCTTATATGTCGCTTAATGACGTACTGGGTGTATTTGTCACTGAATCTAAAAGAGGCAAATAACAACAACCCTTCCCAGAGATCGTAACTTTGCTCCTGTCTTTAAGTTGACAACCGGATTTTAGCACAGCCTACAGTTTCTGGTCATTACAGCTTTTAATTTATAACGTAAAGAACTGTTACCTTGTTTATTGGCACCATTATAAGGGAGGGAAAAAAAGGTAGTTATTCATCTTAGATAAGATTGTTTGTTTACGCGCAAAGGAAGCTCTTTATTCTGTTTATTTTTTCTTTTCCTACAATGTTAGTTGCCCCGTCAATTGTACCCTTGAAGAATGTGACCGTAGTATATGGAAGAACTGTTAATCTGTTCTGTGATGCATCTGGAAGACCTGAACCATTAGTCTCTTGGACACAAGTCAGCACAGGCAATAAGCAATTCAATAAAGCATGGATAATAACGGATTTCAGAGAAAGAGATATCGGTGAGTACAGGTGTGACGCCAGCAACGCGTATGGGAAAGACAGCAAGAGTACATTCATCAGTTTACACGGTAAGTGTACAAGTTGTAAAACGACTCCCAGAATTTATGGTGAGACATGGACATACGTTCATTTCTTATCAGGTAGACAGTTAGACAGGCTATCCTTCGATAAATTTGATTTGATGGTTGCCTTTAGCCTTCGTTTACGAGATCGACTGACTGCTCGTTGTAGCACGATGGTCGGCTGTGTGATTGGCGAATTCTTAATACGTAGTACGCTGGACAAAACCGTTCTGAATCGACGTTTTAGACCAAAAATTAAAGCAAACAAGCGAAGCCAAAAATTTTGTGATTGTCTTAAACTTTATTAAATTCCACACGTGGAAAGTTATTTTTATATAGATCACGCAAGAAAGGCTTGGAAAGAAAGGCACCGTGTCCAAATTTGGTAACTGAATCTACAGGCAGCCGTATAATTACCTATTGTAAAATTCTTACACTTTTTCAAGCTATTGAATGGCATATTACGCAATTAGGAAATCCGTAAGTGATATAAGGCCAGATTGCCACCACCATTTTGATGCTAGCGGGACTTCAAATGCGATGTTTGACGAGTTAGCCGAAAGGTCTCTGATGAGTCCCTTGGCAGGGACGAAACATGCGTTACACTTTTTCAAGTTGTTGAATCACAAAAAAGTATGCAAAATCACGCGATTTCTCAGGAAACCAAAGTGGCTATGAGCCATTCAACTTGGAAAATGGACCGTCTGTAAACAGTGGCGACTTTGATGCCACTAATTTGGATCCATAGGTTAAGTAAAAGTTAAAGCCCACTGGTATTGTTAAGAAATAGTGCAAAAACGCAATGGTATAAGAAAATACCGGAGGCAGATGTGACAGCATTAAAAACATTCATGAAGTTAGTGGTTATCCTCATCCGCGAGACCGAGACAATTATAAAGAAATTACAGCTTCCTGTCCGATCACCAAAGCAAGAAGTAATTCTCAAAATGAGACACTGTGCATGTACGTCGGTTGCATCCAGCCGTAGCGTGAAATCTGACAACGTGAGTCGGGATGTTTTGTCGTAGTGGCTACTACTTCGGGTTTATTTCGCTTCTCTGGCCCTTTTCAATGGACATCTCGGCATTTTAAGAATTCCACTGGATACTATATCTTTTAAACTCAATTTCAGTCAAAGATTGTGTCAAGGTTGCCTTTCATAAGCTTGTAAATCCGTATACTGAATTTACGATAAGTTTTGGCAAAGGTGTTGGAATGGCGAAGCGAGTCAAGTGAAATATTCGTGTTGAGCACGATGTTGTTTTTCTTCGGT